CAGTGCTGATCAGATCTGGATCCAGATTCTGTTGTTGACTATTTCTCTCCTCAAATCTGTTCACAAACACATTTTACTGTTTATCTGGAATACGATAATAAAACTACATATTTCCAGTTGAACCGAGGATTGTGCAGTCTTGGTAATAAGTAATAAGTAGATGCTGCCTTAATCCTTTCTAGTTTTAAACTGAGTTAAAAGCTAAAGGAGCTATAAGGCCAATTAACCCACTGTAGGTGTCTATCTGTGCCCATGAAACCTCTGACAAGTGCTGTACGTCAGTGATGGTTCCTGTGGGAAGCGTAACACTGGTGTCACAGTGACGGCCGCTCCGTCCGCCTTGTCTCCAGTTCCTCCTCCTCACCTGCTCTCTCCAGTTTTCCTCTATATCAGAATCTGAGTTTTGTGCTTTAACCAACCATCAGACCCTGTCATGCCTCACCTCTCCACTTGTCACCCCATGGAGTTTCACATTCGTCGCCTCGTCTTATCACCTTGCTCGGCTCTTGTTTGTCTGAACAGTTTTTGTTGGCTTGTGTGTGTGCTGAGGCCTCTGTCTTTAACTGTTTTGAACATCATTTTCATTATTAGCCTGCCCACGTCACCGTCGCAGACCTATTTGTCTGATTTTTACAGACTAATTGTATAAAGAAAATAAAGTTGACTTCTTTCGTATAAATTCTGTGGCCTGGGAACCAGAAAAAGGAGGTTTTCCTTCCCAAGACTGAAGACAGAGAGTGTTAAATGTTGGACTGATTGTAATGTCCCCTGAGACAAATTGTGATTTTGAGCTATATAAATAAAACTTGATTTTGATTTGATGTTTCTTGCCCTGACAGATGTGTTCCATTCAAACTAAAATCAACCCGTCTGAGCAGTCACAACTATTAAATTAATATGGGGCAGATGATTGACAAAGGAGCATCAGTGGTCCAGATTTAAAGACTCACTCACTGATTGCAGGTCTATCCAACGGTCTGCAGCTCCATCCAGAACAACACAGGCTCACGAAACTCAGACCAAACTGTCAAATGAAGCACTGCTGGTAAAAAATGAATCAAGAGTCTGTTACTTCATCGTCTATTTCCCAACCTTACCAGGCAGCTTGGATTGCAAGAAGATCACACGAGAATCCATCTTGCCAGGTTCTGATACGACACTATGAGTTTGTGACCGGTACCGGCCCAATCAGTGTCCCCTGAGGAACTACTGGCAGCCATGGGTGTGGGCCTGTCCTTTTCCAAACAGTTTCCAACTCAAATAGTTTATTTTAATTGTTTATCTGTTATTTGAGGAAGTTTGAGTGCAGGCTGCCTTTTTTTGCTTGAAACCGGATCAAGCACCACGCTCCAACTTAGATGATCACTCAGCACTACGTCACACATTTCGTTGCTCTGACTCGTTGTAGCTCTAGCCAAAGAGGGATTTGGGTCTGCATCCAAAGCCAATGTCCCTTGGAAATCGAAAATGAACTGAGAGGTTCCAAACTAATTTGCATTTGAGGATTAGTCTGTCAATGCCAGGCTGTCAATTCTGCATCTAAGGTCTACCTTTAAGTCGTTGTTTTGTCTTCACACATATTTCTGGAAGCAGGTAAAATGTCCTGGGTTTCACACTGGGTGTACCTTTCTATTACAAACCAAAACTTCAGCGTGTTCATAACATCACATCATTGTTCCACACAAACTCTTAATTCTTGTCTTTAAATGTCATTAAATTAATCAAAGGATCAAATTTGATTTGCACATCCTGTGCTCACACAATGTGTAGTGATTACAACCTCAAACCTCTGTCGCCACATGTTGGTCAGTAACCTGAAATTAAACACCTTTGTGTCCTTTGTTTCTTTTATTTTATGACTTACTGTCAAACATTTGGGGTCAGAAGGTGGACTGCACAATGAGGAATCAGGAATACAGAGTGTGTGAACTAGCAGTCAGAGAAGCAATTAGTGGAATTGTTAAAAAAGTAATCAAAAAGTGCAGCTTGCAGTAAGTTCTTTAATAAATAGTTCACACTGTGGAATAGATTTCATTATTTTTACATTGGTTTCTGTACAGAAAGCATATTTAACCTAAAAACCGAATCCCTGCCAACAGACAGCACCGTAATTCCACTTCATACCACAAATCTATCCACTGTGATTAGAAAAATAATCCCTTCAGTAATTGACCCGCTTTCCCAGATGACATATTGAGCGTGCACAGTATGATGCATCACTGAAAATCTCCAATCTCTCCAAGTATCTTTCAGTGTTAACAGACAAACTAGTACACATCCTGCAAATGAAAGAAGGATCAATGTACAATAGTGCATAATGAGTACAAGCTGTATAATGACTGCTGGTTACTTTCTCTTTGAACGTATGCCTGAATGAGGTTGCGGTCTGCAGAGCATAAATAGTTGATGTGGCCTGAGTCTCACACATACACACTAAGGGGTTTCTGAAACATGGGTGCCCCAGTTTCTGCTTTTCTATTATGGAGCCTCTCTCAGGACCAAAGACACCGAAGTGGACTCAATGAAAACCCACAGTGACGAATCTGGACAGTGACTGACAACAGCTACTGACATGGTCGACGGGGCTTCTGTATGCTGCCTTTAACAATCACAACATGCTGTCATCACATGCAAAACTTAATCAAAGTGATGAAATCTCAGGCCCGCAACTCTTTATATCACAAGTTCTGCTTTTCTTTGTTAGGCTACTGTATTTAAATCTGCACACCCCACAGACTTGAAAGGCGTTTATGTCTGAAAGTACAGTCACAGAGAAGGAGGTGAAGGCGATGAGCTTTTATCAAGGTCTGCGAGAACAAACAACTGATGCAAACTCTCGACATCCCAGCAGGAACTTTTCTCCCGAGAGCGCTGCGATGTCAGCTGCGTAATTCATGAGTGAAGCCTGTCAGGAAACCGAGCGGCTGTGAGGTATTTTCTGAAGCCCAGGCACAACTCACACAACTCACTTTCTGTAATTTGTCAGGCAGGCTGGCCTCCGCTCCATCCACCTTTACATTGATTAGAAGCCTAAGTATAATGCTGATTAAGCACTGGGCTTTAAGGTTCAATCAGGAATGTATCTGACCATATAGATTTTGTGTAGACTTCCATAGTATTTTCTGAAACTGTTTGACTTTGACGGAAAATACAACTTCTGAAACTTTCTAGACCCATCATTACTGTAAGTTCAGATCAGATTGGGCCAATCATCGTAAAAGACACACAATTGCATTGATTAGAGTTACATCAGTAATGTTTAAGATACCACATATATGCTAGGGCTGTCTGATTAATCGCATTAAAATCACTAACTTGATTAACGTATATGCATCTCTTACACGACAACAATCTGCCATATCTGCAGTATGCTGCATTCACACTGATTCAGGACAACCGGATGTCATGTTAGTGGATGAGAGAAGGACTGCAACGATAGACGGAACTGTCCTCCAAAGTTTGGAGAAAACATGGACAAGATGCTAATAATGAATAAATTACTTAAAATACATACAAAATAACCTGTCGTCATGCATGTTTCGTTTTGCCGTCCTGCCGGTGCATCATGCTGTGAGGAAGCTGCTGTCCATCTGCTTGAATCCATCAATTAGCTGATCAAAAGAAAATTTGTATTCTAATTATTTTGCTAATCGAATAATTGTCGATAATATTTCGATTAATTGTGCAGCTCTAAATATAATAAGATAAATATAACAAGGCCATGAAAACTTCAGGGGCTGAACAAACATGCGTACTGGGAGCCTGATACAGTTCACTGCTGAAACCAACAAACTCTCATAGGATCAAAAAGACTACGGAGGTTGTGACCTATCACCTAACAAGATACGGTTTTTCACCACTGCAGAACAAAGGGTTAATGCTACGCTAGACAAACACTATTGAAGATTTTTCAAGTGACCCACTCTAATGTCACACACCAACAGTCCGTTTTTATCGGCAAGGACTTCATCATGAAAACAGACTGCATTTCCCCTGAGGATCACACAAACCCTGTGAAAGCAGCATACCCCCTTTAATAACTGACTAGACCTCCGTGTGTCGGGGCACCGGCTACATCTGGATATATGTGAGCTGTAAATGAAAATTATACACCCAAGTGTTCCAAGTAACGGCAGACATAGACTTCTTCTTAAATTAAGTGTTTCATGCACCAAGATATTAAAAACAAAAAGTAACTAGAAAGAATCATATTGTTTGCTCTGCCAGTATAATTATATGGAATGCAATTATTGCTTTTTAAAATTACAAATGCTTCTAGTAGATCTGACAGACGATAACATAATGACTGACCGACACAAATGGATGTTTTTCACTACACCGGCAACAAGAAAAAACATTTACGAGCTCAAAAATTAGTCTAAAATACATTCAGTCTCATCAACAAACACTGTTAGTTAAACAATACATTCGACCATGAAAAACCAAAGCTTGTTTGCAAAGGCCTGCTGCAATCACAAACTGGGCTTTACAATGAGCAATAAAGGACTAAATGCGTTCAAGTGTAAAGGCTTTGGGCTGCTGGGTCTGAGCAGCGCTGAAGACCAAAAACAATGAAGGTCTCCGTTCTGCAAGTTCAGATCACATTTAATACTTTTCTGTGCGAGTTCAAACGTTTCTGACGCAGTGCACACGAGGGCTCCACATCTGGAAAATAATGAGCTACAATTTGTTTTCTGACAGCTTTTCAGGCCATGATATGACAAACACAGACATCACCCAGGATTAATAGGCTGCTGTGGTGTCAGATTCTGCTCTCATTGGTGCAGGTTCTCGTTTTATAGACGTCAGATTTCCTTTATTGTAGGTTTATGTTCTTTT